ACAGGCGAGGCGAAGGGAGTGGGGGACCAGACGTCTACATGGGGGCGGGGGTCTTTTTGGAGGGTACCCTTATGTCAGATCCCACAAGAAGTCCGTCGCGCATTCCCGATTGGCACGGCGGAAAACAGTGCACGGGATGGGGTGGGCGGGGTGGTTGCGTTCACTGGAACTTGCGTACATATTTCGGACACCTTCAAGGATCGTCCACGCGTTGCTACAACGATTAGTGCCGTTAAAGGCGGCATGACCTTGTTAGTTGTTCGAGCATCCGGATAGCGGCGGAACGCAAGAACAGGCCTTAGGCCACCTTCGGTTGCCAAACCTGGGTGAAGAAAGCTTCCCTCGTGAAGCTTGCAAGTTCCTGCTTCACAGGTGGCCCTACGCTACTTTGGTCTGAAGGAGGTGGCTTTCTTGTGTCAACCCACTGGGAGGGCAGCAACTTGCTCAGCGCCCAGGCCAAATCATCCAAGCATCCAAAGAGGCGGGGGAGACATGTCTAAGTTCCCATAAGGGAACCAATCATTACCCTTTGCCAACAATCATGGAAGTGGACCTCTTGTCAGCGACCATGATTGTAGGGAGCGTAGGGTTATCTCGTTCAAACATCTTGCCGGATTTTCGCGTCACGCACGGACCGGTCGCCTCGTCTGGGTTTCGCAAGAAACCCCTACAAACCTGTTGGGCAGTTCGCGATGTGTCAAGGCGACCCTCCAAAAAGCGGTTGGTTTCTTTCGACTGTCAAAGGGCAACCGCCAACATGGTGTGTTCCTGTCGACAACTATCCAAACAGTTTTCCTTAGCAATCAAATCGACACACCGTTGGCCAATGGGTTCACACCCTCTTGTGCCGAAGGCGAAATGATTAATGTTATACCTCCTTCGGTAACAGTCCCCTCTATCGTAGAAAGTTTCTTTCTAATTCAGGATCCCGTGACTGTTTTAGGGGTCCTCTATTGTGGACAGTTTTTTTGCCGGAAACAACGCTGGAACACATATGGGCAAAACAACTTGACAAACAAGTCGGGCAAAGAAACGGGCAAACAAATCCTGGCAAACATCAAAGTGGTCCCCAAATCATCAAATTTAAGATAACTTCTTTACAAAAAAGTGCGGGCAAACAGTCACACAAAGGGGGGTGCCCACAAGAGGCCCAGATCCTCTTTAATGTGACTGTTTTGGGGGCCTCTTCAGTGTCCAACTGGTTTTGGGGGTTGCTTAAAAAATGGTCCTTGGCAATACTAAAGTAGAATTGGCAATACTAAAGTAAGTACTGGGAATCTGAGAGTCAGCCTGGGCAATACTAAAATAGAATTGGCAATACTAAATTAATTGCTGAGAATCCGAGAGGGAGCCTTGGCAATACTAAAATAGAATTGGCAATACTAAAGTAAGTACTGAGAATCTGAGAGGGGACCTTGGCAATACTGAAGTAGAATTGGCAATACTAAAGTAAGTACTGGGAATCTGAGAGGGGGGACCTTGGCAATACTAAAGTAAAATTGGCAATACTAAAGTATGTACTGTCCCTCCCAGACCCCCAGGATTTCCACTAAAGAGGGTCCAGCTGACTGGTTCCACTGTTTTGGGGGGGGGGTCCGTGTAAAGAGGGCCCAACATGAAGTAAACTATGTTTCGGGCTTAGTGCAACATTGTTTGGGTAAAGCCTATTTATTCCCACATTTTACCCTGGCGAAGCTTTGGAGGTTGGCAAAACCGAAGCCTTCAAGTTGATTGGTGAGAGCTTGGGCCAACTGGCCCATGCTAAGAATATTATTTCACCAAAGGCTTCAATTCTAGCTGGTCTGCAAACCGTTTCTCGGCGACCCTCCCTCGCATATCTGTTTGGTGTTCGAAAGCATCAAAAGTGGAGCCTTGCATGCCTTTGCTGAATACCCAATTTTGAATCACCATATGAAGGACAAACACCACAGCGCCCCACGGCTCTTCGCACCAGGAAAATGGCATTCATCGCATCCTGGCGACGTGCTCAGGGATTGGTTCCAAAGGGAGCTGTAAACAATGGCTGGACTCCTTGCGGTTCTCTTGAAACATCGCCTGAGGGGGGGGGTGGCAAAGTTTTTGGAATGATGCGCTTCTGTCCTGTATGCTTGCAGACAATGCTGGATGTACAGAATTCGGGCTTCCTTTGGTCACAGTCGAAGGCTTGGCATAAAAAGCGGTCCATTTTGTTGACCCTTCAAATGGACACTTGCTCTAGGGCCTTGGGCTTTTCCATTTTGGTCCGACCATCAGGCGGAAGAGTTTTTCCAGGTTCTGGATGCTTTCTGGAGAGAAGGATACCTGGAAAGAATGGGGAAGATACCCCTGGACTTTCGTTGTCAAAATGGAAGTGAGGGCGTGTTCACCGCGCCATTGCTTCAAGGGTGTTCCGCTTCGGAGGAGTGCGTAAGAGGAAGTTGCCCCGAAAAGGTTCGATAAGAATCCTATCAGAAGCCCTTCCACTGGAACAAGACGTGCAATGTTTTCTTGCCCCAGTCAGTTCCATGCTTTCAGGGCTTAGGGACCCCCCAACCGCGCAAAGGAGTTGGAGCATGGGTCTAAGATGGTTTCCACCCACCCCCTGGGAAGAAGGGTGTACCCTTTATCCAACAGGTGTACCACATGAACCCCTAATTTGATTTTGAGGGGGGTTTGAGGGTGACCGATTGAGCGCTGGACCGGCCTTTTCAGGTTTCCATCATGAAAACGATGGTAGAGACGTTTCATAGTGTGATTCGATGTGGTTGGAAGATCTGCAAACGCAAACTACCAGCGTGTGGCTGGGCCAATGCATTGAGAATGAACAAAAGCCAAAGTTGTTTTTGTGAAATCTCGGCCACCAATCAATTTTTGCGTCCTTGATAGTTATCACATTAGTCAAGGACATTTAACAAGAGCTTCCATAGTGCTGGAAGTCATCGCGTTGGTTTTGTTAGAGAATATATGTTGCTCAACATAGGGGACCCTCATGGGTTGTTTAAAGGAAAGCCAGAAAGGCATCCCCCTTTTGGGAGATGCTACAAACCACCCATTTGCCTCGGGTTGGGATGAAGGGCACTGGAGATGCATCCACAAGCCTGATATGAACCCATGTGTATTTCGGTCAAGTGGTTGACCGCCGCAAAAAGAAAGACCAACCCACCACCGGGTGTGGACCTGGGGTCACAGATCTTCAGACTTTGTTCCCACGCTTTGTGGAGTCCAGTTGCGGACCCTTGGAGATGCGGAACTCAGTTGCAATAGCAAACCTGCCATTCCGGCCCCCATGTTTAATTCTTTTGAGTGCCTGTTTGGGGATAAGTGGGGACCAAAAGAGGCTGCTCTGACCTATAAACGGTGATACCTTGAGTTTCCACGGCCTATGAGTACAAAAGGAAAGGTTCTGCGCACTGCCAGTTCGGAGGGTGCGTTTGAGCGTTCAAACAGTTTTTGGGCATGGATCCAGAGAGAATACTCGCCAAACCCCAGCGATTCATCTCGCCTCAGGGAGTGGTGGAGAATTGCATCCAGGACATGAACCTGGCAACTTGGATCCAGATGAACGCGGGGAGTCACCACAAAAAGCCCTCCTCTAGGGTTGCCTGCTTTGGCTTTTCTTCAAAACCAAGGGCACGGGTACCCAGACAGAGTTTGCAGCAATCAAAGCGAGCTGTTGTTGCGATCGGGGGTACAACGAGCTCGGACGACATGAAGAAGGTCCTGCTCAGGAATTCAGAAATGCAGGTCGGGGAGTCATAGTACTGGGGTCATGTTTTGTCTGTCTTTGCAGGTTATCAAAGGTAGAAACTAGGGTTTTTCTTTTGCCAATCACTCCTGAGGGGTGACTTCAATGGTGGTAAAGCAGGGGGGGCATGTTGCTAAAGTCTTTATGTTGCAAACGTGCTGAACAAATCTGCTTTCTTTCCACTTTTCCGCTTGTGTTGTTCTGATTACTTGCTCACCAGGGCTCGATATGTCAGCAGACCCTACCATAGGTCCTTGTCACGATGGATCCTCCAGGTGTCGAGACGATGCTTTTTGGGATGTCATTTTGTTGGAAATTGTCGACGGAATACCAACGGGTCCTGGGTTCTGGCACTTTTGGGTTCTGGAAACATGAGCATTGCGAGTGGTTCTTCTTCGTTGTTGCTGTTTTCAAAACCAATGTGCTCCCTGTTTCAAGGCATTTTATTGAACATTAGTTGAGGTATGTTTTTTTGGTTCCTATTTTGCAATAAAATCATCAGACCAATGTGGGTGTGAACCGGGCATCATGTTCCTGTGCAGCTCTGTTTTTTCCGTGTCGTGCTTCGTGTGGTTGCGTCTTGAAATCCCCCACGTTCTTGTAAGGGACACGCTTATTGTTTTTTGTACGGGTATCCTTTTACGGGTGATTTTTGAAGGGAAATTAAAGGAACCATCAGCATGTTGAGGTTTTCCCTATTTTTAGCCCATATCCAGGCTGGCGCGTCATTGGACTTTTTGTTTGTGTTGCTGCCTCTTGTTTTTTTGGACATTTTGTCGTGGCCCCCTTCTCATGTCCATTTCCAGCCTGCAAACCACTAAGGGTCCCCTTGCGAGGATGTAACGAGCAACTCTTCTAGGGGGTGATTGCCCATGTTTGTACTGTGGTTCTGTTCAAGCATCAGCTGTTTCCAGTTCCCCATTCCCTTTAAACCCTGGTTTTGTCCTGGTGTTTGTTGGGCTTCCGATTCCGATTCCGATTCCTGCAAGCGAACTCAACGCCGAGAAACATGGGACATCTTCAATGCCCGCGTGACTCCGAACTGCCCCTAAGAGGCGGTGTGGTCTTAACATGGAAGACCAATTCTTTAAAGTGTTGTCCCTATCCCTTTGAATCACCATTAAAGCACCCCCAACATTGGGCACCCTCAAAGCATACACACACACACACACACACACACGCTGTCCTTGTTTGAGGTCTTTTTTTTGGGTTGTTTTAGACCCAACCATTGGTTTGGAGACAACCCATGCTCTGATCAACCCTGTGTAAAGTGATCAACTGGTCATGCCCCATTTGGCACTGCCATTTCTTGAGGGTGCTCTTTGTTTTGGTTGTTTTAGAGGCAGAGCAAACGAGAAGAACTATGGTCCAGAAAAAGGTATCCACTGATTCGCCACATCCAAACCTAGATATGGGTTCTGCAAATATTACTATGTCGCAAGGATTGAGGCCGCACTTCCTTTTTCACCTAAAGTCTGATCAAAAAGCGGCGATCGCACACTCCTCCCGTGCCGACAGGCGCTCCGCCCAGACTCAAGCCGCTCACCTCCCACCACGGTGTTCCTCTCCGCGGCCAGTGATGGACAGCTCATCGTGTGGTACCCAAGCCCGAACTCCGTCCGGATCACCGTCGCAATCCTGGGTGATGCACCCCTCGCTCATCATCAAAGCCGTCCTCGTTTTCCTCCTCTCTCCGGAGGCACCATGCACAGCACCACAGCTTCTCCTTCTGGTGCGGCAGGGCCCTCCCGGTCTGCTCGCAATCCTCCCTCTGATGCGCCATCTGGTCCCTGTCAAAGAAAAGACTCTCATCCTCGATGTGCTCCTCCCGAACCCGACCCTCTGAACCACATGCTCTCTCCTCCAGGCAGGGTTGATAAGAGGTTGCCCCTTACCTTTCCCTTTTCCAGGCGTCCTAGCCTTCGGCTGTGCGCCCAGACTCGCTGATGCTGCTCGAGCACCCTCAGGCTCCTGCCATATTACACCTCCGGCAGACGATGACGCCTCCTTTTTTGATCTCCTCCTCAATTCCGAGATCTCGCTCGATGATCGTCCTCCTGCGTTACCCTTCTCTTTGCCTTCTCGATCCTGCTCCGGATGTACCAGAGTTGGTCTCCTCACTCTCGCTCCTCAAAGGTGTCTCTGAGGAGGTAGTAGTCTCCCTTCTCTGACATATTTCCTCCTCCAGCACCTTCTTCGCGATGGGCATCTTGTTCGCCTTCATTGCTCGTACTCGCACCACTGGCTGTTCTTCTCTCCTCATCCACTCAACGAACTTCATCACCAGGGCTGTGAAGATCGCCACCAGGACGCCGAACACCGTCAACGCTTGGTTTCCTGTCTCCTCTTCCTCTTCAGTCGCCATAGCCCCAGTGACCTGCATACAAGAGGCCAGCACCTCCACCGCCTTCATATTCTCCGTCTCCAACTTCATCACTCTCACTGGATCCGGGCTCTGCAAGAACTCCAAAATAAGTTCCACCGAAGCCATCCCCGAGAGCTCCTTCGGGACCTTCAGCCGCTCTCCAGTCACCTCGCTGCACATCGCACCACAAAGGCCCTCAGCCGAAGATGTCTCGTCCTCCAGCTACCACTCTCCTCCAAGCACAAGGACACAGCCGCCTGGTTGTCTCCCTGCAACCTGGGGTATACTTCACCAAGTTCCCCCAAGATCGCGTCCACGTCCCCCATGATCCCCTCTATCATCTCCATTACTTCGCATTCGGTCGAAAGCGTCGGGAAGCTCTTCGAAGACCAGGCCACCAGACCTCCATGCCAGCGAATCACCCATGGCTCAGAGCACATTGGGGTGTTTGCACTGGCGTCTGTGGTAACTTCCAGCACAGCTCCTCGGCCATCAAGGACCAATGTCCTTGTCAAACAGGGCTCCTTAAAAGATCTCCATTTTGCAACCATTTGAAACATGTTTTTTTTCACCCATATAAAGGGAAACCACCATTTACAAGGCAATGCTCAGGTGTATAATGTAAGGATCCCTGAAAGTAGATTTCCTCGTGGATGGTCCATTGACGTAGTACGCCTGGTCCGCGACCTTCTTCACCTAGTGCGGAGTCTTCGAGACTTGCGCGACCATCCGAGCAACCGTGTAGGCAAGGTCCGGCCTTGTCCTGGTTACCAACCACATCAACTCATGGTTACCACATCAACTCACCCACCGCCTTCTGCGCTGTATGAATCTCACCGGGGTCAGGTTCTCCTCAACCTCAGGCTCATTCAGGTCCTTGCTCATCGGCATCGTTGCCCTCCCCTTGACACCGTTCCTCTCTACGATGTCCTTCGCGTAGGCTTCCTGCGTCATCACAAAGCCATCCTCTTTCTTCCTCACCTCAAAAAACACAGAACCGCACTGGCTCCTCACCAAACCACTGTGGAGATGATGCTTCCCACTCCTGCTGAACCTCACAGATCACCTCCTCGGTCATACCATCCTCAGCCAGCATCAGCAGATCATCCATGTAGACCACCCCCATGCCGTAGATGTGCTCCTTGAACGTGCCCCCCGCGGTGATCTCTCTCAGCCACATATTTGGCTCACTTCTCATCTGGTCAAGCGCATAGACCTTCCCGTGGATCTTGATCCTCCAAGTTCTCATCCTCCGATCCCGAAAGACCGACCAGCTGGGACTGTCTCAGCCCGTACAATGCTTTGACCTGCCAAAGTTCCCCACTTTAGCCAAGCACATCTTCACCAAAGCCGGTGGTCTCGTCAAAACCTGGTTCTCGCTCTCCATCTCCGAGTCCTCCATCTTCAAATGAGCGCAAGAAGGCGCATTTCACGTGCACTTTGTCTCCCTTCCACACCCTCCGAGCTGCTTCTCGGATTGCGATGCGGAGTCCGACCGCATCAGTTCCTGAAGCAAACAGGGCCTGATCCTCAACTGGTTCGCTGAAATTGCCGCAAGCGACAAGTCGGCACTTCCGCTTTCCTCCGGGATTTACAGTGTAGACCCCCTTGCCCGGCAGGACCTGGATGTCCTGGTTCTCCTTCAACATCTTCGTGGCCTCCGTCGGCGAAATCCTTGACACCGCTCCCTTCTCCTCTATCAGTGCCTTACCTCACTTTCCACCGCCGGATTCCACGACTCCCAATTCTCGTCGACCTCCTTATGCGAGACAATCTTGGTCTGCAAGATCTCCTTGATCTGCACTGCCTCGCCTCCTTCCCCTGCTGCAGCCAACTGCTCCTGCATCCTCTGGATGCCCTTCAGCACCGCGGGAATTGCATCAGGTTCTTCATTCTCGACCTTCTGCTTCTCCTCTTCGATTGCCTTTTGCAACCTTCTGATCCTCACAATGCTCCCTTTTTCAAGAAGCGTTTTCTCGTCCATCTTCCCCCGGATTCTCTTCCGTATTTCATGCGGGTCCTTCTCCTCTTTTGGATCCCTTTCCTGATCCCATCTCCTAACCACTGGCGCCTTTTCCCATCTATGAAGCACATAGGAGGTCACCTGCACTCCTCCATCTTGCCAAGTACTCAGTAGTGCGCCTTTTTGTGTGTCGGCTCCATGTCCTCAGCATTCCACTTGCGTCAACACCTGCCCAAAGTTGGGAACCTTCTTCTCGTCCCGCCGAGTGAGCCTCTCCATCACCACGTGGGCTGCACAAGGCCACCACTCACCATTCCATCCTGCATGGAGCACTTTCCTCATCCTTCCTTTGATCTGCTGAATGGTGATCTCGGCTCTTCGGTTCATTTTGAAGTTATCCGTCGAGGGGAAAGTCTTCTTGATATTTCGGTTGCTACACCACCTCTTCACCGTATAGTTGTCGAACTCTCTTCCCTTGTCTAGAGCTTCCTCCTCCGGTTCGTCACGCTCTTCAGGATGCCCAGGTTCCACACCCTCCCCAGCGTCCTCCCACATCACCGATCTCGAAGTCCCAATCCCCCTCCGGTAGGTCATCTTCAAGATGTGGTAGATCCCTTTCCTCTGTCTCGGGCGTCGGTGCGGGCTCCACCCCAACCACCCGGAAGATTGTACGATCTGCCAACCGGCTGCTGTCGCCAAAAAGGTTTTCCCCCTTTCTCGCACACCTCCAATCATCCTCGAAAGACACATAGTCTCCGCCCTTGGTCTTTCTCGCCACCGTCTTCCTGACTGACTCCAGCTGGTCAATCGGCACGGGACAGCCTTCTGCTTCCTCCGGTGTAAACCTTCCTTTTCGGTGCGATTTGTGCACCCTGATCACCATACTTCCATCTGCACTTTTGGTCCAATAATCCTCGGGTCTGCTACTGGTCGCTCAGGACCGGCATCCTCCTCTGGCCCTTTTTCTTGGCCAGCCTCCTTCACCGCTTCCTGCTTCCTCAGTAGGTCTGACGGCTTCGGCTTCGGCCAAGTGTAAGCGACCATGAGATAGCGGCAAGCCTTCCCATCAATGAACCCTTTCTTCATGGGGCCCGCCAGGTCTAGGCTCAGGACATAGGGTTGAGGGTGGTTCACTCGTCGGTGAGGTCTATCTCGGGCTGAGGCGATTTGACACTGCTTGCAGTCTCTTCTGAATGGAACATGGCCATTCCCAATGTGCTCCGTCCAGCTCAGCTTGCACGCCCGAACTTCCTCGCCATAGATGCACCCTTTAATCGCCACCACCAACGCCCTCATCAACGCTTTCGTCTCCTCAAAGTCCACGTCATTCCGCTCCTCATCTTCTTCGTCGGCACCTCGAACTCCAATTTCCCGCCAATGGTTGTGGGTTTCACCGCATCCCCTCCGTCACACTGATTGAAGGTCACCTCCAGAAAGCCTTCTTGGTCCCTCAAGGCCCCCACGGTGTCCTCCACCAGCTGCACTGAGGTTAGTGCGAAGCGTCGGCTGGTTGTTCCACAGCAAATCCAACCTCGCCTCCACCATGTCTCCTTCTCCCCTCGTAGCGGCCAGGTACAAAAGGACCATTCTTCACATCATGACATCGTCGTCCCTCAGCTGCCTCTTTTCCCGATCCTTCCCAACACCATAGCGATATTCCCGTCCATAGCGAGTGTCAGCAGTCCTGCAAAGAGATCCCCCTCCACCATGTCCTGCTCCTCTCCTCGCTTGAGATTCACCTCTATGATGTCTCTTACGTCTCCTCCGATCTCCTTGTAGGCTCGCTTCAGTGTGTAGCCCTCATCCGGTCCAGCATACAGATGCACTGTCACCTTGCGTTGCTCCTTCTGCAGCTGCCCTGGCCTCATCATCACGCGCTCCTTGATCTCCTCAGGAACTCCCTCGAAAACGGGATGCTTCTCCACACATCTCGCTAACCACTCTTGTTCCACCTCCGTCGCCTGCTCCAGGACGAAGTTCTCAATTCTTGGGGATCCACCACCCTCACGACAGTGCCCCTCAACCTCCTTGATCAGCTGCGCCGCAACCTTCTTGGACACTTCCGGGCAGCCATCCACCATCTCCACGTTTATCAACTTCAACTGGGGGTGCCACAACCGGCAAGATTTCCCTTGCCACTCAACAGCATCCCAACTTCTCCACCAACACCCCCAACGGCAGGATGGGATCGACCTGCAGACCAATACCTTGCCCGGGTTGATGTACATGACTCTCCTTCCATCCGCAGTGACTGGAGTGTTCTCCAGGTCCACGGGACCATCTTCCTTCGTGAGCCTCATCACATGCGTAGCTCCCGAGTCCAAGAGACCACCTCCACGACGTCCTGACCTTCAGCTCATGCAACTGCTTCTGGATGTGCTCCAGTCTTTTCTGCTCAGCTTGGCCCCTGGTCTCCTTGTGTGCCCGTTGAGCGACTTCAGCATCTGGCCAGACTCCTGAATCCTGAGGCATGTTCTTCAGCGCTCCAGCGGATTCCTCTTCTTTTCTTGACTTGCACTGCTTACTCTCTTCTTCAGCCTCTTCTTGCCTCCTCATAATCGCCTTCTTCTTCTTCGCAGAACCATCCACCTTCGCCTACCTCACGTTGGTCTTATCAGGTGAAGAAGTGCTTTTCAGCTTTCGCGGGCAGTCCTTCCTCATGTGTTCGGTCGCCCCGCACTCCCAGCACCTTCCCTTGGTTCCCTCCTCCAAAACGTGCCCCCGTTCACGGCTTCTTTTCTCCACTTGCAGCTGCTCTTTTTCCTCCTCCGGTCTCCTCTGTGAACTTGTTCACTTTGGTCTCCATGATGGGAACACCAACCCCCTTGCCCGTCTTCCGGTCCGCGAAGTAGGCGATCTGTTCAACCTCCGCCAACAGGCGCTCCGGGAACTGCTTCACCACCTGACTAGGGCTGACATCCACTTGCATAGTTGATCTCGCTCATGAACTCCTGAGGAGCAGCTCCCGGTTCCCCTCCAGCACCTTCTTTGACATCCGGTTGATGCCCTTCACCACCGTGGGATTCACGAGCTCCGCGACCGTAGCTGCTTCTTGCGGCTCCAGTGACCTCAAGACCAGAGCCTTCTCCGCGTTTCTCCCAGGTTGGCACAGCATCCCAAAGGCCGTCAGCGTCTTCATCGCGATGAGCTCCCTGATCGACTCCGGGATCGCTCTGATGCTTCTCCAGAACCTCCGCCGGCTTTTCCAATGTCATTTGCGCCCCCCCCCCCCCCCCCCCACAGCTCCCAGCGCCATGTAGCGCCTCTACCAACTCCGGCTCTCGTAGACATCACCTGCCACCAGTCACGTGCCGAGTCCGAGAGGTCTGCCAGAATGGGCTCCACTATCACGATCCAGCGCTCCCCCCATTCTCAGGTTCCGCCAGTGGAAGATCAGCTCCTTGTCGTACCTCAGCTTGGCCATCCCGATTTCTGAGGATGCGCTTCTGGAGCTGCATCCCTTCCATCAACTTCAGAATGGCGTCCAGCCGAGTTCCTCCCTTGAACTTCGTTCACTTCCAGGCCTGAGCTCCCACTCATCCTCTCCTTCTCCATAAAGTCCTTCACCCTCGCCGTCCAGGTAGTCCCGGCCCAAGGTCTTTCCCTCTTTGCCTTCACCTTGTTCACGGCCTTCCGGGGTGCCAAACTTGTCGTCTCCACGGCCTCTCATGGCCAAGTCCTCCTTGCGCTCCAGGTTCTGCTGAAGCTCCTTGATCACCTACATCTCCTGGCGATCCTCCACTGGATGTTGAGGACGTTGGTCCATCCGGACCCCATGGATCAGCGGTCTCCGCTTCTCCATCTGCTCCTGGTTTAAGAGCGGCCCCATTGCCCTTGGCGTTTCCGTCGGCCCATCATTCCACAAAGGCGCTTTCTGGCTTGCAGTAGAGCTCCATGCGGTCCATGCTGTTCTCCGAGCTTCCCGCCAGCTCCTGTGGAGCTGCATGACACCTGCTTCTGGGCGAAGGCGTCCCTGATCGTCGCCTTGAGGTTCCTCCATCACCGCACCTCGTGGTTTGGGCTCATAACGCATGTCGCACGGATTGAGGCCGCACTTCCTTTTTCACCTAAAGTCTGATCAAAAAGCGGCTATCGGACAACTATAATTTCACAAGCTGAGTGAAGGTATCCCCAAGCAAAGGACCCTTCATCATACCCCCAAGTGAGCTCGCCATAAAATCAGATTGCTTCCCCCGAATTTTAGGGGTACCTTCCTCATTCCTTCCAGGGATCCTTCTTTCTAGAAAACCTCCGGAAACCCAGGTTGAAAACGCATCCGGTGTTTTGGAAAGAACGATGGTGGAAAAGAATGGACAAGGAATCAACCCCTAGATATTTGGACACATCGGTGAGCTCGCCATAAAATCAGATGGGTTCCCGAAATTTGGATGCGTCATCTCAGGTGAACCTCTCCACCTCCCTTCACCGCCTGGCAAAGCTGTCGGTGAACACTCCCCACAGCGACCAGATGCTCCGCCAGGCCGGAGCTTCACGCAGGGCGCGGGTCGCCGTGTCGCCGGGGCTGGGAAACCCAGGGAGGTGGCGATTTCCCTGGGCAGAAAACGAGCTCATGGTGTAGGCCATTTTGAGAGGTGTTGGAGTTGTAATATTCAACATATTATTTTTTGGGTTGAAACACCCCAAGGGTGACCCTGTACATTGAACTCCCGATTCAGTTTTTTTTTTGGGGGGGAGCGTTGCTGCCTGGACACCTGAAGTTGTGGCATGAAAGTATGTGTCAAAATGGGGAACTGGGTTTGCCTTTGGTTTCGCTCCAAAAGCAAATCCAGCCTCCAAGAACACACGGGAGTTCCAAGCCACAAGAGTAGAAGCTTGGGACTGGGGCCCCTTTGCCGGGTAGAGTGGCCCTGTCTGTGATCCATTTCAAGGCAAATCAACACGTCAGCCTGCGTCCGTCAAAGTATAGTTGGTATGTGTTAAGATCAGGGGGTTAAACCCGAAAGCGGAGTCCCAAAAGTCACGGCCCCGGCGTGGGCAGGATATTCCCTTTGCCCCTCGAAAAGCCGTCAGTCTCCGGCGCTTCGGTGTCAGTCTCCGGCGATGAAGCAGCTGCTGGCGGGGATAGCCAGGGCCTTTCAGATGGTGGAGAAGGACCTGTGTGGGGGCTGGAGGCTTGGGGGTGAATGGAATGCCGGATTACTCAAGACATCCATCCTACTGGTAGGCTTCCCTGCCATGTTTGGCGCCGCGTTATTGGTGTGTGTCTAGTTGTGCTTGTGGTTTCTTCAATTCATGCATCACTCTGCAACTGCCCGGCTTTTGACAAACGCAGATGTTCATCTCAGAGCAAAACAGTACGTCCTCACTGCCTGGCACGCACAGTTTGATCCACGTGCGATCAATTGAAGCAACTTTGCCAGACACTGGCCTTCAGCCTAGCGCTCTAGACCTGAGCAGGGAATTTCAAGCCCACCTTCCGAGCTTCTTAGCGGCCCTGGTTTTTGGTCGCTCCGGGGGGGGGGGGGGAGTGGGGGGGGGTGGTAACCACTGCTTGTCGCGAGTGTGAGCCCGTCTACATCATGCCAGCCCGTGATCTACGTCTGCAAAAAGTGATAAAATAAATGAATCCGCAGATGTGAGCCAAGGGCTCAATGTGCCAAGAACAAGCCAAGTTGGCAGATATAGGTTGTTTTATGACGGAGGACGTGGTTGCCACACGTCTCTGACTCTTGCGACAAACAGTTCAAATTCTTCGGCGTCAAATACGGCAGGTGTGCGTATTAATAGGGAGGTGTCACCCACAAAAGTGATCCCGACACCCCCACATCAAAATCAACCAGGAGTGTATGGGGTTAAAACATGAACCATCAATGACAGGAGCCCAGGGACCTTGTACCAGAAGATTGCTCTATTTGCTGAGTCCATGTCGAGGATCCCCTCGTTTTTCAGCAAAATGTATATGTGCCGAAAGGCCTTTCTTCTTTATGGCGATGTTTGAAGACACACCACCCTGTTTGGGCAGAAGTTTGGCTGGGCTATTGTATACCCCACGAGCAGACTGGGCTGTTCGAAGGCAATGCCGAATCTATTTAATCCATCGAACGTGAGTTCGTGAGTTGGTTCCCTACGGGGATGCTTGACTCGGGGCATAGACATCATGTCTGTTGATCCCTAGGTCCAATCAGCAGCCCTGTTTGAGGACCCAAAAGGCCCAGAATGTTGGTACCCAAATATTGCTGGCTCACTATGACTCTCAAAAGGAGCGGGAGCATCTGAAAAGTTTGTCCAGGGACAGCCCTTTGCTGTTGATCCCCTGAGCACGAGTTTGAGAATTGGCCTGTTTGGTGTCCTCGGACAAAACAGCTCCCTTAAAGCTCAAAGGAGACGAGTGAATCAGATGTAGTTGTTGTGTTGAACGCTCTGCCGAAACCCGTCCTTGCAAGTGTTTGTATTGTAAATCGGATGCGCTAAGTAAAGCTTGTCAAGGTTGTCGAGGCCCACTTGTCACTTGTCACTACAAACATCATGGACCGAAGCTCCCTTCACAGAGGTCCAATTGGGCGGCTGTTGACATGGGGTAGTGTATGCTTTATACCCAGCTGATGGTACATTCTTCAGGTGTTGGATGGACCTGGTCAAATGGAGCTTTACATGAAACCTACCACAGGGCTGGCCCACTTTGGTATCACAGAAAGGCTATCGCCTACAACCCTGGGTTGCCCCCGCCCCGCCGCCCCCCCCCGACTTACAAAAACCAGTCGGAGACGTCTTATTTACGCAAACCCGAGTCTTCAGGACTCTTCGCTGCCCCAGTCCCTGAGCAACGTGGCACGGAGCCCGAGACTCCGGGTACCCATTTCGAGGTTGCTTTGAAGGGAAACCAAAGGAAAAGCAGGCAAAAAGGTAGAGAGGCTGCACAATTCGACACTCAAATTGGTTGGTTTCCTCGTTTTCCTTTAGCACCAACCTCGAAAAGGGTGGCAACCCACTCCCAAATATTCATCCGCCCTATTGAAAGTGTTGGGTGCGGAGGATCTGGCGAAACCTTAACTTCCTCGTTTTGATTGGGGGGTGGTGTTGTGTTGGATTTAAGGGAGAGTTGGCTGGTGCGGGGTTGGTTGACTCAGCTGGTTTGGAACGGGTGTTGCTGGAAGCTTTCCGGCAATTCCAACAGCAGAGTTTTAGTTTGTGCTATCGCCAGATTCTACTCGTGTGTGGGCCCGCCAGAATGATCATGTTTCCTTCCTTTGAACAGGTTTACGGTAAAGCCCAGGTTCTTGTTCGCATTGACGTCCCGGTTTTTGGACGTTCGAACGGAATCGACAGGGATACATTCAAAGCAAATAATCGAGAAGGTGTGTCTCAAAGTAGGGAACCCCAATGGATTGATTTTTCTCGGTTTCTCTTGAACCCGGCAAAGAAAGTTCACCATTTGACACGCAGCATATACGGACCTCCTTTGTTTTGTTGTGGATCTACGTGTGAGGCGCCTCTTTCGGAAATTGTATGTTCTCCCCCAACACAGGAAGCGCTTCCCCTCCCTTTCCCTTGGTAAACCAATCCAAACCAACCCAAACCCATCCAACCCCATCCAACCCAGCCTCCAAGCCAATCGAAACCATTCCAAACCGGGGTAAGGCGAGTCCAGAAACGTCCCCCTCCCCCGACGGCTCGCTCCCCGCCCCGCGAGACCTGGTCCCTGGCGACGCTGCGCATCGGGGACTTCCAGGTCTTGGAGCTGGTGGGGGGCCTCAAAGCGGAAGCTCGCGGGGGGTTGGGTTGGTTGGGAGCTTGGAAGCTTGGTGGGTTGGGTAGGTAGGTTGCTTGCTGGGTGGTCAGGTTGGTGTTGTTGGCTGGTGGGTGGGTGGGTGGGAAGTGGTTAATCCCAATATAGGTTTTCATTCCAACGAACTGTTGCGGGATTTCGTCCATCCACAGTGTGTGAAGGTTGGCGAAACATAAGAACGAATCTGAACCCACATTTTCTGGTGTACGAGTGGTCCAGGCTCCATTTGGGATGACGCGGGAGACCGCAACAAACAGGACACTTGCTAAGTGTTCTATGTCCTTTTGGGGGAACAAGTCATTTCGACCGTGGAGGCTTATATAGCGGGTTCCATCATTTTTGGGCAAGCGTGGAAAGAATCTGTGCCAACAAGGCTGGGTTTTGATGTGTGTCGCAGACCAACAGGAGGCGAAGGCCTCTCAGCTGTATCTCAAGGGACATGGGTATTTGTCAAGGTACAAAAGGAAACCACACGCAACCCATTTGGACCTGGTTGTGGCCATTGGATTCGCAAGTGCAGAAGTGTCCGTTGGGGAAACCCAGAGGTAGACAAGCTATGCCCTTCCAGAAAACCAGCTGGTTTTAAGCTTGTCCGGGGAAGAAGAGTCCCTGCTTCACCCGAGGTAAGAGTTTGCCATCACGAGGGCCAGCTGGAGCCAATATCTTATGGGAATCAAAGACCCCTCTTTGTAAGGCTAAAAAAAGCAAACACTTATTAATATATATATATATATATATGTATATACCCTCCCTCCCACTAACATGGCACCTCACAGGGAGTCCCTCCAAGAGGAAACTGATCTTCCAGGTAGCCTTCCACAGGTGCCATGGTGGGAGGAAGGGTATATATATATATAGATATGTTCCAAACCTTCCCCGCGATTTGGGCGGCTCTGTCGGTTCCCATTCTTTGGCCCGCGAGTTCTCGGGCTTCGGGAGCTGCTCAAAACGAAGTCGTGTGTTTTTTTGGGGAGGGGGCCCACATAGGGCGACCCGTAAAAAGGATGGGGGGACAAAGATGTCCGTTTGAAACGCAGAAAAGGGACACCTTCCGCAAAAAGATCTTTCGCAATTCAGGAACCAGCTTGAGCCCTTGACTTTTTCCGGATCCGCAATCCTTCCGTTGGGTCACAGGGGGCAAACGGGTTTCTGGTTCCGGCTTGTACCAAAGGACACTCACGTAAGCATCCTTGAACCCATTTGTTGGAACCGATTTCGGCTCACCCGAACGTAGGAACTGGGGTCCTTATCCGTTCAACGTTGCCCAGATTGTTGCGCACTTGCAGGCCGGGACTTTGGCGGTGGCCAACATGAAGGCGGGCACGGCATTCGAGGTTTTGCGGGTCTTTTGCTGGGCAAAGACATGTGGCTTGCCTGCGGGGTTCCCTCCCTTTGGGTTGCTTTTTTTGAGTTTCCCCGCCTTTGGGTTTCCCTTTCGATTTTTCTGCTCCCAAAGGCCTTTCCCACCAGCTCTATTTGGCCTGCGTCAGTTGGCCTTAGGCTAACTCAAACTCAACCTGTTTGCGAGAGTGGGTTGGGATTCGGAATTGTTTGCAGGGCCGCTTTTCATTTCTGTCTGGCTCAAACGAGGAAGCCTGACAAGAGAACATTACCCCATGCAACGGTCCAACCCTCCCGACATGAACCGTTCTTTTGAATGGCGGTCCTTTTTCTTTGAGCTTGTTTCGGGCACTCTGCTGATTTTAACGGAATGCGCCCCAGCAAAAGGGGAAAGCGACAAGCAACCTGCATTGTTGCAAACAATCACTTTTTGAATTTGACATGGCACCCGACACCACGGAAAATCATTGAGCGCTCTCCTTGGATCAGACCCCAGAGATTCTTGTTATTATTTAAATAGCATGGCATCCGATACTGACAGAGCAGATTAACAACCCGGAAAGTATCACCACTACCTCTTCCCGAATAACTTTGGGGGAACCCAGGACGGGCTCTAGCAACCAGGTTCCTTTAGCTTGCATCATATGAGCAAAAATAGTCAGCGCCCATCAGATCCGTTTGGGGTTTAGGGGAAAAGGCTTTGTTTGACCATTTCAGGTCATCCCCTTCAGGCTGTTCACTTTTCCATTGGCTTCCTGAAAAAGTGAGCCCACAAGCGGTTTCAAAGATTTTAACTCCATCTCAAAGGGTCCTTCACCCGAATAAGAGTACCCAACAGGTGTTGGTTCGGAGTCCTTTGGTAAACCCGTTGTTTCCTGTTGGACCCCCAAAACAGATTCAAATGAGTCTCTAGGGGAACCCTGTCACCTCTGGGTAGTTCCCTTTGGTTTCCCTTTACCCCCCCCCCCCCCCACATGCAAAAAGGGGTTGCTCTTGGCTTCCCTTTGAGAGACTCCTTTCATGGTACCCAACCTTTGGATTTCTTCTCCATTCCTTTACTCGTCGTTTTTTGGGTGGTTCCCTTTGTTGAAGACACCCAACTGCAGGTAGCACCCACTCCCCCCCCCCCCCCAAAAAAAAAAAAGAAAAAAAAAGAGACGACTACTACTACTACTACTACTACTACTACTGCTGCTGCTGCTGCTGCTGCTGCTGCTGCTACTGCTGCTACTGCTGCTGCTACTACTACTACTACTACTACTACTACTACTACTACTAGTAATAGTAATGGTAATAATAATAGTAATAATGATACTGAAAATGAAAGTAATAACAATGATAGTAATATAATAACATATATATGTATATATGTAACACAAACATAGACACACACACAAACAAAACACACGCACCAAGAAACAACATCAAACAATGACCGCGATGGGACTCGGAGGACTTCAAGGCCTTCGAGTTGGCGTCGCTGCTGTGGTCCTTCGCCAAGCTGGGCGCCGCCGACACCATGCCCCTGGTGTGGGCCTTCGGGCCTTCGGGCCTTCGGGCCTTCGGGCCTTCGGGCGGATCGGTTTTGGGGCGAGGGGTTGGAGGGTGGTCGAGGGGTTTTCATGGGGGCTGGGGGGGGGAGGGAAGGGGGGAGGGAGCCCACATAAGCCCTTATTCAGCCCTTAATAAGGGCTTATTTAGGTTTTATTTGGGCTCCCTCCCTTTCCCGTCCCTCCCCCCAGCCCCCATGAGTTTTCGGGGGTGCTCGACATTCGGAATCGGATAAAAGTCGGAGTTGTCCTGAAATGGCAAGGATTTTCGTTTTGGCTTCGGGGTGTCTTAGGGACACAGAAAGGACACCAATAGGAACCTTGGTTTTGATTTGCCTTTGGCCCCGCCGAAGCGCCTGTTGTCTCTGCCCGATTTGAGGTTTAGTCAAATCTTCTGGCCCCTCATGGGGGAACTTCACTTAGTTTGAGCCCCCTGATTTCCCATGTCTTGGGACCAATTTTTGCTGACCCTGCCCTGAACTCACCAGTGTTGGTATGGACAAGGTTCAGGGGGACAGGTTGCAATCCAAATGAAGAATCCAATTCAATCCGCCAGCCTGAAGCTGGGGGCTTGGTGCCCTTGGTTACCCTGCGATGAATTGCAAGATTCCCATGCGCGGCTGGGCTGGCGATAAAACCGACAAAGCTGCGCCTCGGTGTTCATACGGATGCATTCAGTGAGTTTCCCGCTGATGATGTTTTGGTTTGGAAGCATGGGGACCGGGGGTCTCAAGCAAGCCGAAGGGTGAAAGCCCATCGCCAGGCTGAACTCACCTTTGGAACCGCTTGGCGTGGGTTTTATGAGTTTTCCCTTTCAACCGGCAACAAAGCAAGCCTTCAACTCGTCAACCCACTTTCCAAATGGTCTTCCTTTCAACCTGTACTCACTTTATTCCAAAGCCCAACCTCTGCCTTTTGGTTTCCCTTTCGATTTTCGTGTCCCCCAAAAAGGTTCGCCTTTGATTTCCAGGTCCCTAAAAGGGCACCTGAGGTAAGTTACGCTCAGTGCCGGACGCGTCGCCCAGGTGGTGGGCCCGCTCTTTCGGGCGGCCACCAGCCGGCTCATGGTGTGCCTGAAGCCCAGATCTGACGAGTTGAGACAGGAGACACGAAAAAGGAAAACGACTTCTGGTGGTTCTTGGCTATGTTTTTTTTTTCCTCTCTCCTTTTTTTCGTTTTCTTTTTTTTCTTTCTGTGTATTGCTTGTTGCAAAACAAAGCGCAGTGCTTTGTTCACATGCCAAGGATTGGAAAGGGTACACCCGAGAAGAAATATCAAGAACAGCACGCCCGACAAGAAAGACCAAGCAAAACGATTCCCGCCTGAAAAGAAAGAACAACAAGAACAGGTTTACGTTGAAGCATCATGTCGTTAGAATTTTTGACAACTAGAAAAGTCAAAAGGGGCAAAGCTCTAATCCCTGCTAGATCTTTCCCTCAGAAGCGCTTAGGCAGATTTCAGTTTTCAGCCTTTCTGTTCGATTTTCCATTCCTTTTGTCCAACCTCAGAAAATCAGAAAGCCTCAAGAACGCCTGGGAATCAAACACGCAACTCCAGCACTTTCCAAGGCTGTCAAAATGCCCCCAATCCCAAGAACACTTAGGGTACCATGACAAAACTCTTGGAAGGTGCTGGCGATTTCCATTCTTCTCGGAATGCCGGAAAAGGGAAAAACAACAACATGAAGAACAACTTCCATTTGTCTGACACGGACATTTGTGCTTTCAAAAGCGGATCTTCCCTTTCCGTTTTTGCCTTTTTCCTGGGCTGTTCAAAGGCAATCCTGAATCTTTGTGGATGATTGGGATTGGCCACTCCATTTTGAACAGAGTTCGGGTGGTTGGAGCGGAAAGCAGAGGAAACCAATGCCTATTTTAGCGGGCAGGGCGGGGGTGGGTGCGTTGGGTGTCTTTGTTTCCTTTGTTGGGGTGCCTTAAAGGGAGACTATGACCTGCACTCATTTGGGTGCCTGTTCGAGTACTTTGTCCGGGAGTGGCTTTTGGGGTTCCCTGGGCCTCTTTGAGGGAAATCAAAAGGAACCCAACCACTTTAATGTTGAGAACACCTGTTTGGGTCGGGTGTCTTAGAGGTACCTTCATTCCCGCCTATTGAACCAGCAAGTTGTTGAAGAGCCCAGTTTTCCCGACAAAAAAAGGGCACCCCCCCAAATCCCCCGCAAATAAAGAACGAGGGATCCCCTGAAAGGAAACAAGGGAATGGTTCATCCCTTTCAAAATCGACCTCCCCCCAAAAGGGTTGCCAGACTTTTTCCCCCAAAAGGAACATTCCTTTCAGACAGACCCATGCTGTGGAAAAAAAACAAAACAAATAGGATGAAATCCGATTTGAATAGTTAACCCACCAATTCCTGGCCACGCTCCTCCAATCATTTCAAGAACAGCGCTTGATTCGGATTTCGGGACACGGGCGTGGGTCAAAACTTAAATCAGGGAAAAGGAACCTATCTGTTCTTCCCCCATTTTGGGGGGTTCCCCCAAAATCCGATATTTGACTCGGGTCCATCGCCACCATCGTGGTTGAGGGAGCCGTCGCAGGATACGGGCTCCCGGTTGGTCGCGGGTCGCGGGGGTTCGGATGTTTGGTTTCCAAAGGCGTGCCGGGCGCCGGGTTCCGGTCCCTGGCCACGGCGGCCTGGGCCTTCGCCACGGCGCGCCAGGCGGGGATGTGGAGTCACGCGACACTTCACTGGCATGGACCTCGGGTCCACATTCGTTCCTGGATTTCCCTGGCACACTTGTACATGCAGATATGTGCTATCCTCCAATTCCGATTTCAAGGCTGAGCCTCGCAAAGATGACCCCGCCCAAACCGAGAAGTGCTATGCCCCCGGAGGCGAGCCAGCGGCTCTTCCGAGCCATCGCCAAAGAGGTCCGCACCTGCCTGCCCACGGCCAATAGCCAGGAGCGGTCAACGGATTGGCCAGGATTCACATCGAGCTTTTGGGAGCTTTTGGCCATGTGCGATGAATGAACGGATGGGCATGCTTGCCCGCTCTTGAGCCCTTGCCAATTTTCCCCCCATCCTTTTTGGGGCAATGTTGGATTTCCTTGTTGGAACCCCCAAGAGCCTCTCGTAGATGGTCTCAGTACGGCCTGACTGGCCTTAGTCAGGCCGTGGCCGTAAAGCACCAGCCTGGCACTCCTGTAGGGTGTCGGTGGCAGCTTGGATTGCCATGAGCTTACTTTCCCCACGCAGGCAAGTGGCCATGTCGATTGACGTGTTTTTGAAAGTAGTGGTGCTTCCAGGCCTGCCATTGCGGCCACCTAGGACCTGCGGTTTTGGCTCATTCCGTTTTTGCATTTGGGTCTTTTCAGAGTCGGAGACGCGTCCGAACTTTTGACTTCCGGCCCGGCTTCCCTAAAGCACAGGCTGAGTCCGTGGCTTGATTTGGACGGTGGCACTGGCCAAACGGGAAGAAACCATAGGGAGCTGTGCCATCTACTTTCGCCCAACTCGTCACTTTGTGAAACTCGTTTCCAAGTTTTCAAGACAGACATAGGATGTCTTATATCCCCTTTCGGGGCGATGCTGGTTACCTTGTGATTTGCGGCTCAAGTTTCGCTGGAGATCCAAAAACCTCCTGCTTTACAAAGATGCGGAACCTCAAAGTCATTAAGCTGGCAGTGAACTTTTCTCCGCCAAAATAAGCGTGTGCGTGCAAAATAGGGTTCAAAATCGTGGCCTTCCTTTTTTGCTTTTCCAAGCCAGGGGCAAGCTGGCGCTCGAAGAACCAGCTCGCAGTCAACTGGGCCAGTGAATACTTGGGATTTAGTGTTAGAATCTGCAACAATACTCGGTGTTTCGGCCATAGACTTATAGACTGTTAGAACTTAGAGTGCTTTATGACATATAGCAGCAACAGATTCACTTTCTGCAAGGGATCAACGGACCACTAAGAACATTGGCGAATTCGTCAGGAGCTGGCAAACATTGTGTGGGCCTATGGCGGCAGCCTTAGACTCCGGAAGGAGTCTTCGATGCAAGCAGGAGCATTGCCCAAAATGTGCTCCATAGAAACGGGGCAACCCCCGAAACAATAGATAACAGATGGCTCACGCTCAGAAACGAGCACACCCAGATCTGCGTTGGGTTTGAGTGAAGGGAATTGTCAATGACACATTCCATCAAATCCGCAGTTCTGGGTTTTTCCAAATGTCCGGCGGCCCAATTCCGCTCGGAAAGCTCACATTTGTAGAGGGAGTCTCCGTGGAGATGATACCCTTCCTTGTGTGCGCGTGTCTGTGTCTGTGTCTGTGTCTGTGTCTGTGTCTGTGTCTGTGTCTGTGTCTGTGTCTGTGTCTGTGTCTGTGTCTGTGTCTGTGTCTGTGTCTGTGTCTGTGGGTGTGTGTTTTTTGAGCCTCGGCATCTCTTTTGGGGTGAAGGGAAACCAAGAGGAAAACTACTCATTTCAGGGATCCCGAACAAAGAGAGGCCATGAGTTTGTAGAGTCGGTTCCGACTGGGCAAAAGACGCGCAAGGCGCCCGTACTTGAACTGTGGTCGAGTTCCAACTCCTCTTCTCCCTTCAAGGGCTCGGAATGTCAAATGACCAACCAGGGTAGGAATTGGCATGTCCTTTTGATTTCCTGTATTCAGGGAATTGGCATCCTTCACTTCCATTTGCTGATTATTTTCATCCCCTGTTGGTTTTACAGGGAATCTATCACTACTGGACACATTTCATATTTTTCCAGGGGATGTAAGCAAGTGGAAGTTCAGAAAGGCCAACTTAAAGTGAGTTTCCTGTTTATGAGGCGATGCTTTGAAGGTTGGACACCCTCGAAGATGTGAGTGCCACAGGGGTTGGCGGAGCTCAGGTTGTTGAAGTATCAGATTCACCCAAGAACATCTTCCTTTTTTGCGGGTTCTCCCCAGCTAACAGCCGAACATCCGCCGGGATGAAACGAGGAAAGTTCCCGCTTCCGAACTTTCAGGCACGGTGGGCCACAGGGACGACCAGCTCTTCAAGATGATTGCCGAGGCTTTGGAAGGGCTGGCGATTGGGGGGTTTGTGTTTTCTTGTTTCTTTTTTTTGGTTGGGCGGGGGGGGGGGGTGTTGGGGCCCCGATTTTTTTCTTTCCAAGGTTTGGCGCGTCCGTTTTGCTGCGTGGTGCCGGGGTTTTGGCTCGGCCGGTCTCCCAGTCCGTCGGTCGGTCGGTCGCCCCGGTTGGTCGGTCGGTCGGTCGGTCGGTCTCTCAGTCGGTCGGTCGCCGCGTTGGTGGATTGGTCGGTGCATTAGTCGGTCCCTAAACCAGCCCTAAGCTAACCCTAAACCAGCAAACCAGCCCTAAACCAGCCGTAAACGATCCTAAGCCAATCCTAAACTAGCCCTAAACCAACCCTAAACCAACCCTGCACCAACCCTACACCCTAACTCAACCATAAACCAGTCCTAAACCAACTAAACCAACCCTAAACCAGCCGTAAACCAACCCTAAACCAGCCCTAAACCAGCCCTAAACCAACCTGCATCTTCCCTAAACCAGCCCTAAACCACCCCAAACCAAGCCCAAACGAGCCGTAAAAAAGCCCAAAACCAGCCCTAAGCCAGCCCTAAACCAGCCCTAAACCAGCCTCAACCAACCCTAAGTCAACCCTAAACCAGCCCTAAGCCAGCCCTAAACCAGCCCTAAGTCAACCATAAACCAGCCCTAAACCAGCCCTAAACCACCCCAACCAACCCTACATCAACCCTTCTCCACCCTTTATCAACCCAAACAAGTCCTAAACCATCCTAAACCAAACACCAGCCCTAAACCAACCCGAAACCAACGTAAACCAACCCTAAACCATAAAATCCTTAACTAACTCTAAGCCAACCCTAAGCTAGCCTAAGCCAGCCCTAAACCAGCCTTCAACCAACCCTAAACCACACTAAGCCAACCCTAAGCCAACCCTAAGTCAACCATAAACCAGCCCTAAACCAGCCCTAAACCACCCCAACCAACCCTACATCAACCCTTCTCCACCCTAAACCAACTTAATTAAATCAACCCTAAACCAGCCCTAAGCCACCCTAAACCAACGCAAAACCAACCTTAAACCAACCCCAAACCAACCTGCATCATCCGTAAACCAGCCCTAAACCTCCCTTAACCAAGCCCAAACGAGCCGAACATTACCCTAAACCAACCCTAAACCAACCCTTAACCAACCCTAAACCAACCCTAAACCAACCCTAAACCAACCCTAAACCAACCCTGAATCAACCCTGAATCAACCCTAAAGCAACCCTAGACCAACCCTAAACCAACCTAACCGAGCGCAAACCAGCCCTACACCAGCCCTAAACCAACCCCAAACGACCCTAAACCAACCCTAAGCCCACCCTGCGTCTTTGAACCAGTGAACCCTCTGCGGACTTTGCTGCGCTTTGGAAACAAGCTTCTTTGAAAAGGTAAACTCTCTGCAGCTTTTCTGGGTCCGGACCACCGCGCCGAACCTAGGAAAAAGAAGGCCGCACCGAACCTAGGAAAAAAAGTAAGCCTTCCGCCGGGGGGGTTGGGGGTTTTGGGGTGGGTTGGGTTTTTTGGGGTTGGGGCTTTCGGGGCTGTGGTTTGGGAGGTTGGGAGGTTGGGGGGGGGAGGCTTTGCAGGAGCTTCGGCGTTTTGTTCAACTGTTTGCCGCCCATGTGTTATCGTTGTTTGTTGCTTGCGGTGTTCTGTTTGTTTGTGGCAAGTGGCTGCGAGAAAGAGACACAGCAAGGCGTTTTGCTAACATGTTTGTGGGTCAGTTGATCCTCACCTTCGAACAAATGGCGGGAGGGGTGGCCCTAGAATTCCAGTCTCGCCTTTTGGTTTTCTTTCATTTTCCCTTTCCTCTGTTTTTTTGACATGAAACTGCATTGGGGTATTTTTAAGACAAGGAGCAAAGCACAGCCTCATAGGTGTCCTTTTTAGGTTAGTTTGATTAAAACTACATGGCACTGGTCCAGGTGAGGTTTCTTCCATTTACCAGGGCCATCTATTTTTCCAAAAGGCCACCTATGGACAGCCTATGATGCTTTCCGTCGTGAATCCCCGGTGCGAGCAGACGCCCACTTCGCTGGTCCGTCAGGAGAGCGTGCCGCGGCTTGAGGAGTTCAAGACGCAGGACGCGGCCGGACTTCCACATCGGAGGATGTGTTTGTTTTTCTTCCCCTTCTTTCTTTATAAATATGTATATATATATATATACACTGTTTTTTTGTTCTTTCTCTGTTTTGTTCTTGTTTTTTTGCCGAGGGTACTCCGTTTTTGGCGGACTTGCAAGGGAAAACAAAAGGGAAGGACCCCGACATCTCAGTTTTGTTTGGGAGGTCCACATACGAAATCTGCGAAAAGGTGTTGTCAAAGGGATGTACATGTAAGGAGAGCCCCAGGGTTGACGCTAGAAAGGGTCCTGGGAAAGACCGTTTGGTTGGCCAGGTTCAAATGGTCCAAGAGAATCCGCTCAATGTCAAACAAGGGGATGCCACTCTTCTTGGGACCCTGGACACTTGAATAGGATAAAGAAGATTGCATGCTTGCTGAATACAAATAAAGTGATCCCGAACATATTCTTCTATGCTGTATCCAGGCTCCATGTGGGGATGTGTCAAAATAGGGGTCCCACCAACATGGTGATGTTCCTTTTGGTGTCCCTCAAAAACACACACACACACAGACAGACACACACACACACAGACAGACACAAACAGACAGACACACACACAGACAGACACACCCAGACACACACACACACAGACACACACACACAGACACACACACACACAGACACACACAGACACACACAAAGACACTGACAGACACACACTAAAACACACACACACACACGCACACACAGACACACACAAAGACACACACAGACACACACTGAAACACACACACACACAGACACACACACAGAGACACACACACAAACGCACACACACACACACACAAACACAAACACAAAAACACGCAAACAAAAGGACACAGACACACAAACACACACAAACACACACACACAAACACACACACACACAAACACACACACAAACACAAACACACCCACACCCACACAAACACACACACACACAAACAGACCCACACACACACACAAACACACACGCACACACACACACACCAAACACCCACACGCACAAACGCACCCACACGCACACGCGCACGCACACGCACACGCACACGCACACGCGCACGCGCACGCGCACGCACACGCACGCTCACGCACACGCACACGCGCACGCGCACGCGCAAGCACACGAACACGCATGCGCATGCGCACGCGCACGCGCACGCGCACGCACACGCACACGTGCACGCACACGCACACACGCACACACACACACACACACACACACACACACACACACACGCACACGAACACGCACACGCACACGCGCACAAACACACCCACGTCCACGCCCACGCCCACGCCCACGCTCACGCCCACGCGCACGCGCACGCGCACGCACACGCACGCACGCACGCACGCACCCACCCACCCACCCACCCACACATACACACACACACACGCGCACAAACACACAAACACGCACACAAGCACGCACACACACACACACAACCCAAACCCACAAACACACACACACACAAACACACACACACAAAAACCAGACGCACAAAAATGCACAAACACAAACGCACACACACACACACACAAACACCCACACACAAACACACGCACACAAACACACACAAACACACACACAACCACACACACAAACACACACACACAGACAAACACACACACACAGACGCACAAACACGTACACAAAGACAGACACACAAACACTCACACAAACACACACACACACAAACACACACACAAACACACACACACACACAAACACGCACACAAACACACACACAAACACACAGAAACACACACAAACACAGACACACAGAAACAACCACACACACACAAACACACACACAAACACACACACACAAACACACACACACAAACACACAGAAACACACACACAAACACAGACACACAGAAACAACCACACACACACACACACAAACACACACACACACAAACAGACACACACACACAACCAAACACACACACACACACACAAACACAGACAAACACACACACACACAAACACACACAAACACAAACATAAGCACAAACACACAGACACAAAACACTCAGACACAAAACACACAGACACACGCACAAACTCACACAAACACACACAAACACACACACACACAAAACACACACACAAACGCACACACAAACACACACACACACAAACACAAACAATCGCAACCAAACACACAAACACACACACACACAAACGCACACACAAACACACACACACAAACAGACACACATACACACACAAACAAGCACACACACACACACACAAACGCGCACAAACACACACACACACAAACACACACAAAACACACACACAAACGCACGCACACAAACACACACACACACAAACACAAACAATCGCAACCAAACACACAAACACACGCACACAAACGCACACACAAACACAAACACAGAAACAGACACACACACACAAAACCAAACACACACACACACAAACACGCACAAACACACACAAACACACACACACACAAAACACACACACACAAACGCACACACAAACACACACACACAAACACAAACAATCGCAACATATCGCAACCAAACACACAAACACACACAAACGCACACACACACACACACAAACACACACACACACAAACAGACACACACACACACAACCAAACACACACACATAAACACGCACAAACACACACACAAACACACACAAACACACACACACAGAAAACACAAACACAAACGCACACACACAAACACACACACACACAAACACAAACAATCGCAACCAAACACACAGTCACACACACACACAAACGCACACACACAAACACACACACACACAAACAGGCACACACACACACACAACCAAATACACACACACACAAACACGCACAAACACACAAACACACACACAAAACACACACACAAACGCACACACAAACACACACACACAAACACAAACAATCGCAACCAAACACACAAACACACACACACACAAACGCACACACACACACAAACACACACACACACACACAAACAGACACACACACACACACAACCAAACACACACACAAACACGCACAAACACACACAAACACACACACACACAAAACACACACACAAACGCACACACAAACGCACACACACACACACACACAAACACAAACCAAACACACACACACAAACAGACACACACACAACCAAACACACACACAAACACGCACAAACACACAAACACACACACACACAAAACACACACACACACACAAACGCACACACAGACACACGCACACACACACACAAACACAAACAATCGCAACCAAACACACAAACACGTAGACGCACACACACACACAAACGCACACACACACACACAAACGCACACACACACAAACACACACACAAACAGACACACACACCCACACAACCAAACACACACACACAAACACGCACAAACACACACAAACACACACACACACACAGAAAACGCACACACAAACGCACACACAAACACACACACACAAACACAAACAATCGCAACGAAACACACAAACACGTACACGCTCACACACAAACGCACACACACACACAAACGCACACACAAACACACACAGAAACAGACACACACACACACAACCAAACACACACACACAAACACGCACAAACACGCACAAACACACACACAAACACACACACACACAAAACGCACACACAAACGCACACACACACACACAAACACAAACAATCGCAACCAAACACACAAACACGTACACGCACACACACACACACAAACGCACGCACACACACACACACAAACGCACACACACACAAACACACACACACAAACAGACACACACACAACCAAACACACACACAAACACGCACAAACACGCACAAACACACAAAAACACACACACGCACACACAAACGCACACACAAACACACACAAACACAAACACAAACAATCGCAACCAAACACACAAACACGTACACGCACACACACACACACACACAAACGCACACACACACAAACGCACACACACAAAAACACACACACAAACAGACACACACACACCCACACACAACCAAACACACACACACAAACACGCACACACACACACACACACTCAGAAACACACACAAACACACACAAAACGCACACACAAACGCACAAAGAAACACACACACACACACACAA